GCCTTTATATTATTATCCAACAAAAAGTCATCATATATGATATGTTGGTTTTTTTCACAATAACCAATATATCAATTAGAGCTACTATGATTTTCTAACTGATTAACAGAAGAAAAAACATTATATATCACTGCATCAAATTTAAAATCCTTGATTTTTTTGGCATGGAGTTCAGTTGTTTTGCTCTCTTGGAGCTTGGAGAGAGCTATCGTTAATGTCATCTGCTTTTTCTGTTAGATAGTAAAATATTAAGCTTATGAAAAAGAAAAAACTAATCACTTGGTTCCGTTTTGTGATAGGCTGAAGTAGGAAGGCATTCAACTTCAGAGCGTGAATGGGAGGTGTACAGATTTCTCTTGGATGAGAACTGTGAGTTTCAATTAACAGGTGTTGCTGCTAAAAATAAGATTGTAAATAAGGTTAGAAGAACCTTAATGGGTTGCTAAGTAGTATTTTTTTCATCACAATATGTATACAAATTGTGGGTGTTGCACTATGAGCCATGTACCATCGAGTGTCTTACGATTAGTACTTAAATGGTCACTGGGTTTTCACCCTGTAGTTCCACTAGCCATGTTTGTGTTCTTGGTTTTATGGCTTTAAAAGAAATACGATGCACGAGAAGTTTCAGATTGTGTTGCTTGGTACCTTCCACGTTTATCGCATTAAAGATAAAATTCAATCTCTCAACGATGCATCGTATTAGTCAACCATTAGAAACAATTCACGGATAAGACATCAATTTCTACTTCCGTCATCTCAGCATCTACATCAAACATTTTCGAAACTCTTTACCACGAACTCACAACAAACTCGGACTTCAACAGACCAAAAAAAACAAGGACCACAATTAGCAAGTCATGGTCAAGTCTCAGAATTTATAAATCCTTGATCTTTCAGCGCAAAACAGTTAATCGAGTACTTGTAGGAATGAAAATTGAAGAATAATTAAAAGCTTCGACAGACAATGACTTTAAATGCAAAAACAGAACCCGTTACCAAACAGATTACCCCATTAATTGCGCCATTTATAATTGAAACACAACATCGTATAATCAATTATTTTACCAACATAGAATAATAGGAATTCAAATTTCAGTATCAAAAAGATAAAGCAAACCAAAAATAAATAAACAGTTAGCATAGGAAGAATATTGGCCGAAAACAAGAGGGTTTTCTATTAAATCATAAACTCCTTCACACGCAATTAGACGAAACTAACAGCGTTTCAAACATAAAATATTCCTTTTACAACAAAAGAACCCTAAACACTAATATACATAACTCCTTAAAATATAGTCTAAGCCTTCTTGGGGCTCTTGGTGGCCTTGGATGGAGATTTGGGTTCCTTGGAAGCCTTCTCATTCTTCTTAGGCAACAAAACAGGGTTAATGTTGGGCAGCACACCACCGTGAGCAATTGTGACTCCAGCAAGCAATTTCCCCAATTCTTCATCGTTCCTCACAGCCAGAAGCACATGTCTAGGAATAATCCTGTTCTTCTTGTTGTCACGAGCAGCATTACCAGCCAATTCAAGCACCTACTCAATCCAATGCACACCAGAACCAATCAATCGCCACAATCGAAAAAATAACCGCAGCTAAGAATCACTGGTTAATGTAATTAATGTTAGGTTACCTCAGCAGCTAGGTATTCAAGTACAGCAGCCAAATATACTGGTGCACCGGCTCCAACACGCTGCGAGTACCTTCCTTTCTTCAAGTAACGCCCAATTCTTCCAACGGGGAATTGGAGACCGGCCCTGACGGACTTTGCCACCGGCTTCTTCTTTGGGCCACCGCCCTTTCTTCCTCCGGCGCCCTTCTTAATCTTTCCACCGGCGTCCATGTCGGAACCCTAGAAATTAGATGCGCTTGGAAAATAGGTGGGGGAATGAGAAATTAGAAAGGTTAAGAGTGTAATGAGAAGAAAGAGCTCAGACAGCTATAGATATAGTTTTCCGCGCTCAAGTTCAGATTGCACGGATATACGTTTTTCACGCAAATATCCGCCGTTGGATTTGATGTAATCTACGTTTCATATTTCTCTCTATGGCGATCCGTGTGTTTCCAATTGACCAATCAGATGCTGTTTTGTCTGCGTTTTTGTTTTTTCTTTATTATCACTTTTAAAATGCATCCTTATTGATGTAGTTATCTTTTAAATGATTTCTACAAACAAAAACTCTTGAAAATAATTAAATATATGTACACTGCGTGTAAAAAGTAAGATTTATATGAAAATTAAAGGTTTAAACCCTTCGTTGGTCCTCAAGTTTGTATGAAAATCTCAGTTGGGTCCTCAAGTTTTTTTCTGTCTCAATTGGGTCATATTTTTTGTAAAAGTGATCACATTTTGCCATAACCGTTAAGTGTTGTGAAACGGCGTTAAAATGGTGTGAGCTGGATTTTTCAATTTACGAACGTGGCATTGTGCATTAAAATTGACTGTTTTTTTCTTTTATCCACGTAGGCTACGAAGCCCTAACATTTAAGGGCATCCCATCTGATCCAAAGTATATTCTCCTGTTGGAGAGGATCGTGTTTCGTGTTGGTGAACCAGAGCTGGTGTCTTACGTCTTGGGCAAGCACTGTTGAGGAGGTGGTAAGGATGTCTCGTTCATCTTCCTCTTGCCAATGTTTGGGTTCGGCCATGCAACGCAGTAGTGGCAGTGTTAGGAGCTTCGATGGAAACCCAAGATGCCTCTGTGGTCACAGTGCAGTGTTTCGTACTGCGAGAACCCCTAAGAACAAGGGGAAAAAATTCTGGGGTTGCCCTAACTTCAAGGTCAGTTTCATATCACAATAAATCTATGTCTATTTATTTGGGTTTTGACGAAGGTGTGTGTGTTGGTGTTGAACAGGGTGGGAGTGGAGAATTGGTTGGTTGCAACTTCTTCAAGTGGTGCATTGACGAAGGAAATGAAGGAAAATGGCTGAATGTAGAAGAAAGGACTGATAGTGAAAGAACTGAAGAAGTGGGTGTGATGAGCATGGAAGACAGTGTGTTGCAAATGGAAGAAACATATTGTCCAAAGATCAGACTGGGTTGTATAGAGAAAAGTTTAGTTAAGTTAGATAAGTGGTTTAAATTGTTGGTGGGGATGATCTTTGTCATATTTGTTTTGAATGTAATTGTATTAGCAATGTTGGTGAAAGTTGGTTGATGCTGTGTCATCTGTCATCAGATTTCAAACTTGGGTTATATGTAATGTGTTTTTTATTAATGTTATCAGACTTGAAACTTGGCTTATATGTAATGTGTGTTTTATTAATGTTGGTGAGTTATTACAGTGATAATGTGTGTCATTTAATTTCATTTAATTGTATTGTTACTTTAAGTGGAATAATGATAAAGCAATGAGCAATAAAGTAATGAGAAATAAAGTTGATGAGTGATAACAAAATTGGGCAGTAATCACTTTCTGATAACCACAAACATTGTATTAGATGATAACAGAAGCTGTTCAATTGTCTTAGATGATAACAGAAGCTGTTCAAAATGATAACAACATTGTCTTACATATCCAAAATACATCATAACAATACATTTGCACAGACTGTGTTCAAAATGATAGAGCAAACATTTGCTACAAAATATAAATTTAGGATCAGTACATTAGATCATTGATCAGTACATCATTCATCAGATAAAGGCATAGTTGCTGGAGGTTGGGTGACTTGAGAAGATTGGTCACCAATAGGAACATGTGTTGCTGGAGGTTGGGTGACTTGAGAAGATTGGGCTGTAGGAACCTCTACTGTTGGAGGTCTTTGTGGACAGCCTTTTCTGTTGTGTCCAAGTTGTTTGCAGATGCCACATGTTTTCCTCTGGCCACCCTTTCTTAATTCACTGTTATTCTTCTTCAACTCCCACTCCTCTAGCCTTCGTTTCTTCTTGGGCCTTCCTGGCATTGTCCTCTTCTTTGGTGGTAATATATCTGCATAGGGTGTAACATCCCAGACATGTTGTCCATTGATAGGGTTAATTATTGTGTTGTAAGTCTCTTCATAAGTAGACTTCCTAAACCAGTTGCCAATGTATTCTTCTGCATTTATATTCAAAAACTTCATTGCAGTGATGGCATGAGTACACGGAATGCCAGTAATTGCCCATTTTCTACATGTGCAGTCCATGGTGTCAATATTCACAACAAATTGCTGACCAAATTCTGAAAGATGTTTCACTTCAAATAATTTTTCTCTTGACCACCTGTATGTAATACACAATTGAAAACACAATTAGATGGATCACAATAAATGGAAAGAAAGTTAACATGAATGGAAACACACATCATAAAAGTTACCTTGGTAACCAATGTCTAGTTAACCAGGACTCCTTTTGAAATCTGCTAAAAATCTTGGGGCATATTGAACCTTGATATGATGTGATCTTTGTCCTGTTGGCAGCCCATCTCTTCATTATGTAAACCCTTATGTCTTCTAACATGGTAATAATAGGCTTAGACCTACTATCGACTAGCACACTATTAAAGGCCTCACTCATGTTGTTGACAAGAGTGTCACATTGTGATCTAGAGGTGAATCTAGATCTTGACCAAAACCTGGGATAAGTGAATATAAGTAGTCAACTATGTGTCATGGCAAGGAAGCAAATATTGAAATATGGTTAAGAGTTAATAACTAGAAGACTTAATGCATACCTAGGTGGGATGGCAATCAGATATTTAAATGCGTCAAGATTTATGTCTCTAATATTCCTCATTTCAGTCTCCCATTGTTGTGGGTGTGTTGCTGTTGCTGCCCGCCACATCAGACGTTTAAGGTTTTTTCCAGGAAATTTTTTTCTGAAGTTTGAATATAAATGCCTAACACAAAATCTTTGTTCTACACCAGGTAGAAGATCCTGGATTGCTGGCAAAAGACCCTGACATATTCAACATATTGTAATTAACATTTGTTTAATGAAGATATTCAGTTATATGTAAAACATATTGAACATTCACTGACCTTTTGTTGGTCTGAAATAAATGTGCATCCTGCACATACAGCTGCCCCACCAAGGTCCTCAATAAGGAGCTCCAAGAACCAAGTCCAGGAGTCTTTGTTTTCTACCTCAACAATAGCATATGCTATGGGCATCATTTGGTCGTTTCCATCTCTTCCCACTGCTGTTAGTAACTCCCCTCCATATTTGGTTTTCAGAAAGCATCCATCCAAGCCAATAATAGGTCTACAACAAATGAAGCTATCCTTGCATGCCTTCAAGCATGCATAAAATCTTTGGAATATGACCTCACCATCACTGTTATCAACTTTGATTTTTACTGTTGTTCCTGGATTTGTTTTCAGCAGCTCATGACCATAATCGCGAAGTCTTCTATATTGATCTTTGAATGATCCTTCAACCTTATCTCTTGCCATTGCTCTTGCCCTAAACGCCATATTTCTTGAAATTCCTACATTCCATTTCCTAGTAACTTTGTCCCTAATGTCCATGACCTTCATTGTAGGATTTTCTCTCACAGTTTTCTCCATCCTTTCACTCAACCACTTTGAAGTGATCAACTTAACATTGAAATCTCTACTACAGTTGTGGTTATCAAACACTTTTCTCAGTTGCCATGCACTGATATCAGTCCTAAAGGAACAATACGCATACCATTTACAATTTCCTCTTCCACCCAAGCACTTGACAGAAATCCTTTTCTTGTCATTCTTAATAAATTTTAAACTTCTCCCATTACTTAGTGCATAAGTCCTTATGGCATCTGTGAATTCATTTTTCTCAGGAAAATAGGTTCCTACTTCCCATTTATAATCCACCAAAGTTTTAGGCATACTAAAAGTGGGAAACCTTATCTTAGTCCTCACATGATTGTCCTCACTATCTGATCCACTCAACAACTCCTCTGATAACCACTCATTGTCAGACAACCCACACATATCATGAATAAATTCATTATCTGTTGACCGTTCAGACTCAAGTAAGGCACTGGAAGCTTGTTCTCCCACATTTCCTTTAGAAGTCCCAATGTCACAATGCACGCTGACATCAATTAGACTTCCTTCACTTCTATCTACATCTTCGTCCTCAGACTCTGCCTGATGTGCATCACCCTCACTGTCTTCTACATCATCATCCTCTTCATAATCCTCTAGCTCAAAATCATCTACATCATGTACCTCAGCTTCCTCCTCATGATGGATCTCAACATCCTCACCATCACCCTCATAGGCATCACTATGATCCTCACCTTCACCCTCATACCCATCACCTTCACCCTCATGGGCATCACTATGATCCTCACCATCACCCTCAACCATTTTTTTACCAACATCACTATGATCCTCACCATCACCCTCATACCCATCACCTTCACCCTCATGGGCATCATCCTCACCCTCAACCATTTTTCTTCCTACTGCAGTATGATCCAGACCATCACCCTCCTGGGCATCCCCCTCACCCTCCACCATTTCTCTTCCAACTTCAGTATGGACCTCAACATCACCCACATGGGTATCCCCCTCACCCTCCACCATTTCTGTTTCAACTTCAGTATGGACCTCACCCTCATGGGTATCCCCCTCACCCTCCACCATTTCTGTTCCAAGTTGAACATCACGAACAACCTCAACCTCCTCCACTTGTCTTGCAACATCACCTTCATCATTAACTTGACCACCAACCCAATCAATCATTTCTATTATTTCTGGTTCCATCATATTATGAACCACATACAGATGAACTTCATCATTTAACCTAGCAATGTTCAACATGTGCATGGCACCCCTATCATCAGTTAATAATTCTAACCTATCTGGGTGCACAGACTGACCTCCTAAACCGTACCATAACTCTTTGATGTCCATATGACCTAAATCTTTGACTGACGCTACTATGCCAAAATAGCTAAACAAGTCTGGATCACAAGACCATTCTGCTCTCTCTCCTTCAAAGCTTAAGTT